GACCATTGCATTTGTTTGTTTGTTTGTAAAATTAACTGAATGCGTTTTATTTTTCTATTCAAATCAACACAGTAAAGACACTACATCAACTGACAGATGAACAAACGTACACGCATAGACACAAGTAAGAAGTATACACATACAAACTGAGAATGCTAAATGTTAAAATGAGACTCCATGGCTGTGGGTGCGAGTAGCTGAGGGTGCTGTGGTGTGCAGCATATTTGTTGCCTTCTTGTCCAAAATGTGTTTTATTTCCCACAAAGCCGCTCTGGAGAATAAGTAAAAGATCGCACTGTGCACACATTATCTGCACAGTCGCACTCCTGGGCCTGTTCAATAAAAGTTCATTTTCGCTGGAATATCTTCTCATGAAATAGAGAGTCGAAAGGATGTTTGACAATGCATTGGTTCTAAAAGTTCTAAACATAAAAGTAAAAACATCATTCCTTATTGAAATGGCGTGTCTGTGTCCTGCCTCACTGCCCCATCACTCCTCTGACGCCGCCCTTCCTCCTCTTAATTTGGCCGTCTTCTGTCAGTGTCTCCTCCTCTTCATATTCACTGGCTTTTATGCGGCGCTCTGATAAAGTGATTATGCTTGTGTGCTCCGTGCGCGCTCAGGCAGACACTCTGTAGATTAGTACACTCTGCGTGTTATTGCACAGATCACAGCTCATTGGTCGTGTACGGGCCAATGTCAGTCAGTCATTGGTTAAAAGGTCTGGTTAGCATTCATAATGGCCTCTCATTATGGCCTCCGCAAGATGAATGTATATCTCTGTGTCTGAGGAGATGAATGCACTGAGCTGATGGAGAGTGTGAGGGGTCAAGGAGTGCTTCAGCCTCACAACAACAAGGTCCTGGGTTTGTGTTCCAGGCCGCAGCGGGTCTGTGCCGTTCTCCCGGTGTCTCTGCTTAAATGTGATTCTTCAACTTGAATTCAATTGTTGTAATTTGAATAAATAATCTACTGTATATATTTAGGTTTTTTAATAGGCTTTGGACAGTAGATTAGTGATTATTTATAAGAATGATCTAGTAGAAGTTTAAATCACAAAACAGGGACATTGAACATGGACGTTTTTATAAATTTGACAAAAGCTAAATTTATGCTACTCAAAAAAATGTCCATAGAGACACATTGCAACAAAATTGATTCTTTAGTGAATACAATTTACTCACATTTACTGACAAACTCTAATTATAGCCATGCCTCAGTCATAAATGCTCTTCATAGCATGGTTAATCTCTTGTATGGTTAAACAAAAAGATTTTATTTACTATTCCAATAATAGTTATTGATTAATGAGCTAAGAGCAGCCCTAATAAGGGTTCAGCTTAGTCACACCACTTCTACATAGGCTCTTTCTTCATCCACACATTTGTTGGACTATATTTTGAAACCATTATATGATCCAGTATCAAATGTTACATTTGCATGAACAAAAGAGGAAGCCAAATGTCAGTGTGTTTAACTGGAATACACTTAGATATTTGAACTTCTCACTCCACAGTGTTTACATTTGGGCATGAGGCTTCCACTCCAGTGCACATGCTGATAAAGCAGCCAGATTTTAACTGACTTACCACTTTCCTGGGTCTGAACTTGTGTGTAATCATGAAAACACTGCACTTTGAAAAGCCATTGAAGCTCCTTTGGGCTGTATTGAAAATGAAAGTTAACATAAGAATGGCTGTAGTAATTGAAGGCTTCCGCGTGGCCTGTGTGTACAGTGTGTGTGCATATGCAGATGAGTGTGTTGCTGCTGACAGGGACTAATGTCTAAATCAGCCAGACTCCATCGCCCTGTCGCCCCGCTCCCCTACAAATGTCACCTGTTCCCGGCCAGTGATTTGCATAATGCAAAGCTTCTCAGTCGTAACGGTCCGATTAGCGGAGGAGCCCGAGACCATTCCTGACGCACCAAGCCGTTAACGGGCTCCTTTTGCGAGGAACAACTGTGATTAACTGTGGGGGGCAGGGGAGGGGGCCGGCACGAGCTGGACACAGAACTAAAGCTGTGGTAATGACATAGTGTTCAAGGCTCTAATAACACTACACTGCCTTAATTATAACTGCTACTTTTCCAATTAATGTACACACACATACCCTGCAATGAATAGCATGATTAGTTAGTATACTGATTAGAAAAAAAGTTCAGCAATAAGGCACTTTCTATAAACACATCTATTTGAAAATACAGTGCCTTAAAGCAATCATACACCATGAACCTTTCTACATTTTTGTGTGTGAAATAACAACATAGTGGCTTTTTATTTTAAAAAGTGTGGCAAACTTCTTCAGCTTCATGCCTGTTATTCAATAAAAATAAAACCATGTACTGTATCACTTGGATTTCAATTATTTTCTGTCACTCTTCCTCAAAAAAATCTAAACTAATTCATAATAAAATCATGTTATGTTTGTGGTCGTGACATGACAAAGTTAATGGTTAATATTGCTTTATTTTGTTTTGTAGTCGTTGATGGCTGACTACAAGATTTTATCTGCGCCTCTTTTTGCTCTTCTTTAAAAAAAGAGGTACTGTGTATTTATTGTTTGTTTCAACCTGAGATGATCTGAGGGAACAGGGAAGTGTGAGAATTGAAGAATATTCTGCAGGAGGGTCTGTTGGGCAGTTAGTGTCCAAATAGAAGGACTGTGGTGATGATCCAGGACACTTTAACATTCTACAACATGTATGGACATTTATCAACATGTGTTCTATATTCTTTTTGTGTTTTAACTGTTGATTCTCTGATCTGTGATGGTGATTTCAATGGTTTTGTTAAGTCCTCTTGACTTCTGTTGTGATATAGGGCTATACAAGAATAAATTGTATTGTATTGTAAGAATACCCATTCCTATTACTTCAAAGCAATCCAGCAAAAAAGTCCGACTCTCTATGTGAAGAAAATATATTTTACTGAACCGTAACAAACAGTTGAGTAAGATTATATACGTAATTAGATTAGATTATTAGACTCATATTTATTGTCCTTCCGATGGGACATCTCTCAGGTCTAACCTCAGATCTAAGCCCAGTGACATCACCTTACTGAGTAGGAAAAACATTAAAAAAAACTAAAATTTTATGGAGAGAAGGGAGCAAGTGGCGTTGTGAACATAATGAGACAAAAATGCTTGAAAATAAAGTCATCAAATAAAACTAAACTTCAATGAGGGTTCTGGTTGTTGGTTGTTAAGTTGATATTTTTCTATTAAAATGATAAGGAATGAGATTATGGCAAAATAAGAAGATATGACACAAATTAGCAGAACATTTGGCCTTTATCAGTTTTGAGATGTCTTTAATCGACCATAAGATAAGATAAGATTAGATATGCTTTATTTATCTCACAAAGGAGAAATTTACATGTCACATCTGGCATGGATAGAAACACTCAGATTGTGCTAAAAGAGAGGATATGTGCAAACATGTTAAATGCAGGATATATTATGTACAATAAAAAAAGTGGCAATCAGAAATAGTGTCAATAGTAGTGCAGGCTTTTTCAGTCTTATACAGTGACTTAAAGTGACTTATTGCACAGTCTGACAGCGGTGGGATAAAGGCCCTGCGGTAGCGCTGAGGGTGTAAGAAGGAGTTTCCTCAACTTCAGCCATGAAATCAACAAACAATTCCTGAATTCAACTTAAAAAATGTTTTTGTTAAACAGTAAATGACAACTGTTCCATGTTTAGAGCCACAAAACTATTGAATCTTCTGCAGGGGAAATAACATTATTCCTCCATAATGTTTCACTAAGTTGCCTCTCCTCCTCCCTCGCTCTGTTTGACGGATGAGGCCGGGATCAGAGCACGAGAGGATGAGAGCGAAGATGTGTTGCAGCTCACTTCTCTTTCTAATGTCTGTGGCTGCCGACAAACCATGCGGAAAACTAAAGACTATTAATGCCACAAACAAATCTCTCTCAAATGGGAAGCTCTTTTACATGTTTTAGTGCGTGCCTGCTCCGGGCCTAATGACATGGAGAAGAGGAGCGGAGGTAACAGATGACATAAGCTCCAGTAATCAGGCTCATCACGGGCCGCCACAACCAGCTTCACAAAACACAAAGAAATCACCCACTCGCGCACTTTGAATCAGGCGTAATGATGTTTTTGAGGTTACAAAGTGTCTAGAGCAAAGAGATTTCAGGAAAGTGTATAAGTAATATATAAACTATTCAAACAACAAAGTGGGATATTTATCAAGGGTTAGAGCGTTTGTGTGAAGTGATTAGGGCTCCTTAACATGTCCCATAGAACCAAAGTACTGAAACTGCACACACTGTTTTACATACAACTGACGCTAAACTGAAAATCATGTGCAAACATTTCAGAAGTATGCTATCGAAAATATAATGAAAACATGAAACCGGACTCTGAGCTGTTGTCCATCTCCACATTACTCCTCCTGCTTGGTTTAATCTTTGTTGAATTTAATCTTCCACAGTTTGACTTAAAGCATCTTTCAATAATGTCATGCAAGTTTAGTCCAAAGAAACTTAACACGATAACACCTTCAGGAACGTTGCTTTCACTTTGACTTTTACTACTTACTTACTACTTACTTTGACTTTTTTCATCATTTGAAAACAAGACTGATGTAACAGATGACTATTCAGACCTCTGACCCCAGACCAGGCCTGATGCCACAGCTGTCATGTTGCTGGTAGATGTATCCTCTGTAACTGTATGCAGATGTTAGCCTGTCTGCCCGACAGAGATAACAGATTTTAAACTGCAGTCGTTCCTATGATTAAACACTTTCAAGTGCACTGCCCTGATTTGAAAACAGAGGAGTCTCTCCACGCAGCCATCAGTCAAGTCTAATCCCTTTTATAGCTTTCACAAAGTAACAGCAACTGCAGTTATTAACCCACACCGCCCTCAGATAGCCCCAGTCGAGCTGTCCCCAAGTCTAACCAAGCCTCTGTGATACTATCGCTGTGTCGCAGTGGAAAAGAAGCGCTCCCCATTAGATGTCCAGCTAGATAAATAGACTATAATGGGCTGCAAAGGGTGCGTTTGGTCGTTTTGCCAGGACTCTTCCTTCAGATGTGATCTGGAGGTTGCAGCCATGAATCAGGCTGGAGTGGGCGACGTCATTGGTCATCTTGACAGAGTCTGTGGAGCTGGGGAGGGACAGGCCGCGCTAATAGAGCCAGATTAGGATGGGTGTGCTGTGGAACTGGTGCTGGCACGGCCTAAATGTGCAGAGTTAACGCTGCTGTTACAGGATGTGGTTCTGAAAAGGAATCTTCAACTTCAAATGTATCTAACAGGTTTTAAAAATTGAAGATTTTGTTTTATAAAATTTTTCAACATGCAATTTCTTTTTAGACAAAACGGGAAATGGCAGTATTTATGTCTATGTTTTTAGCACAAACATGATCTTGACCATATTTACCCTTGTGCAGTAAGAGAAGGTCAGGATGAGCAGCACGGACAGCTGCTGTAAAGAAATGTATTTGACGGAGAATGTTCCAAAACATTTGGGGTAAATACATCTGAAAACATGACATCATAGTTTAAAGATTCTCTGTGGAATGGTTTTGAACACAAAGTATCAGACAGAAAATTAATATAAATATTGACATTGCTTTAATTATAAAAACGCTAAAATTAGAAAAAGGTAACATTTTAGGACCACAAACTTGAAGAATTACATCCTCTGGGCTTATTACCAATCACACTAGACAATGATAAGAATAAAAAAAAAAAAAAGAATACTTAGCCAGGTAGGATAGTTTATCCTAGTATTTAAGTAAGTACAGTCATTGGGCCAATCATAGAAGGCTTTGTTTTACTTAAAATATGGAGAAAGTTTCATGAAACTGGCATGTTGTCGATTCTCATTAACAGTCATATTAACATGCTCAAATCAAGATAAAAACAACTTATTGGGAAAGGGAAGCTTTCAAGTTCAGTTACCCCCCTCATATTTATCTAATTCCTTCAGATTATGTGTCGATGTGTGAGTACCTGGAAGTAGAAACAAAATCAAGTACTTTGTCATTTTCAGTTATTAAAGACATTTAGTCATGCTAAATACTTAAGCGCCCACCAAATAACATTGACAAAACAAAACACATACAAAAACAGACATCCCCAGCAGAATAAAACATATTAACACATGGTAGAAACATTCCATCACAATAGATATGTAGGTTTCATGTTTATTATAGTCACGTAACATTATATGCAGTAAAATTCTTATGTTCCTTTCAGCAGATGTTTCATAGTTGTTTTACCTTTATTCATCGAACAGTGGGATGGTTTATTATTTACATGTTTTTATACTCTTTTTCTCGGTTCCCTAAAACAACACATTTCACAATGGCCATATCACATAATAAATTATCTTGACTTTTAACTTAAAATCCTTCTTACGTGGGCATGTTTTTTGGAGTGTGGGTTGATCATCGCGGCCAGTAAAGGTTTTATATATATTTGCATTTCCTTTGTCCCTGGTTGTTTTGGAGGAGTTTTTATAGTGCAAATTGAGAGTGTGTGTAGTCAGTGGTGTGGTAGCGGCCGGCCTGATAAGGAGCAGATAAAGCTTTAAGGGCTAATGGTTTCCACTAATGAGAAAACTGGCTGTGATTATGACAAATAGGTGGAGAGCAGCAGGCTAAGCAGCGACACACAGCAGCTATTGTTCGGCGGAGGAGTTTCAGCATCTCATTACGGAGCGGCTGATCGAAGAGAAGAGCGCTGGAGATACGGAGCTCTCACTGCAGACGGACCGTCCTGACCCCAGTGTCTGTGTGGCCGGAGGAACGCCGCTTCTGTGGGGCTCCTGTGGGGCTCCATAGGCGACATGTGGTAAGGCTGCGTGTGAGAGGGTATCATGGTGTTTGATTATCCGTTTTGACCATGGGAAATTCGTGTAACATTACAAATATATATCAAACATAACATTTCTTTTTTTCTTTTATATTTTTTGATTTTGCAACTTGTATTATATCATAGCACATTAAACATCATACACATAGTGAAAGCTTAAGAGTGAAATATAAAGGGGGAAGACAATTCCCCAAAATTACATATTACATCTACAGAACGGTGTCACAACAATACAGAATTATGACGACAATATATAAGTAATAGGTTTACCAAACATCAGTTTAAACTTTAAACCTCATTAACAGAATAACTAAATTTAAACACATTTAAACTCAAAAGAATTGTTCCCGCACACCGTCTTGAATGAATTGGGAATGTGCCGTATCAATCAAATATGATGGCGTAACGCCAAAACGGCCAGTTTTAGCCAGTAAGTAATAATTCTTTAGATTAGATTTAGAGAGGCATAGAGCCTCTAAAACTAATATAAACTTATATCCTAATTGTTTATGATCTTAAATCTCCACAAACCAAGGTTTGTGTTCAAGGTTATATTTCAGGTATAGTTTATTTTCCTCATGGGGAAAGATGTTCTCTGCATTTGACCCATCCTTCAAAGCCACTAAGACACCCAGTGAGCAGCAGTGGTTGCTACAGAGCAGTCGCCCGGGGAACCATCTGCTGATGCTGATGCTCGGCTTTGTCAAGACCGGACCTGGAGAATTTTACTACGATGTTTGGTGAGTAACTAACCCTAACTGGAGCGTCCAGAGAAAAAACCGTCCAAACATGAGAGCAACCCATTCAAATATGGGGAGCTGCAGCTGTGATTTTATTCCTTTGCAAATTAGAAAAAAACTAGCTAATTTAATCAGTACTTGGTCAATAAAAGCAGATTAAAGATCAACCAATGATCACAGGAATTAAGCAAATATAAACTGTTCTTGCCTCAAAGTATCTTTTATCCTTCTTTGGCAGGAAAAATAAAAAACAAACTCTTTTGTGACTCAATTTGATCATTTGCAAGTCTAAAATCTGTGTAACATGCTTTGATTTTGAAGTGACTGTGAGTTTGGAGTTCATCAATACACGTTAGCGCGGGCCTTTAGTATATTAATATTCCTTAACCTTTATTCAACCCTTGCTAATCCCAGCCCGCCCCTAACCCGCTCTCTCTTCATCATGCTCCGCTCGCCTCCTCTTATTTGTCCCCCTCCGCCTCCCCCTCCTCACCCAAACCCATTTCAGCATGCGATTATAAATGGAGCCTTGGGAAAATGTGATAAATCAATTAATCATTTGTAGCTATGTAGCCTAATGAGTGAACTGAGGTGTCATAATTACTTCTCCCGGTATCAATCACTGAAGTGCGAGTTTGCTGATAAACTGGTGCTGATGAGAGCAGAGACACAGGGATCACATGGAGCTGCTGCTAAACATGCGCTAATGAGATGTGGTGGCGGTCTTTAGGCTCACTTCAACAACTTCTCAAGGCAACTTTCCTGCCATGAAGATCTTTAGACATTTTGGCTGAAAAATGAGTGAAGGGTGACTATTACATGTTTTGAAAGCTGGAAAAGCTAATGTTCAAATTACAAGCATGGAACTATGTCATAAAATTAATACAAGTTCTGGGCTTTCAAAACTTTTGGATACTTGTACTTTCTGCACACCTTTTGATATTTTTTTCAGGTGGAAAATGAAAAGATGAGGTTGTGTTTTTACATTTTTATGACAGGAATAACTTTGTTCGGAGCTGTGAAAATGTACTCTTTGAACCAGCAGCACCATTTTTCAGCACCATGGACAGCTCAGACTTGGCTCTACCAATCACTCACTTTTTATTGAAGCAGGTGAGGTGTCTTGCCAAAGGACAATTCAGTTTCAACATGTCAGGGAGTTTCTCAGGTCACCCGCTCTTGGGTTAATATTCATAGACGAGCAATCTGACCATCTTGAGTCAATTAAGACGAAATAAATAAAAGGTTCTCTCGTTTTATGATAGTTTAACATTATTGTACTTCAGTTCTAACTTAAGATTTGTTGCTGAAAAATTCTCAATACCTTACAGGACATTGTCTGTCTGTTTTTTTTTTGTCTGACACCGAGAAACGCATTTGGTTCATGTTGATGGAGCAGAAGCCCTGTGCGAGTCCCACAATATCCCCACAATTGCATTTGATACCAATACACCCACTGTATATGATCAAAACGCAATACCACAATTGAATGAGGAGACATGTAGGCTGTTATCCAACTCTAGTCTGTACTATTACGCAGGTGCCAAAGGTTTCAGGTGTGGCTGGTAATCTAATTTACATGAGTGATTCGAGCACAGTGCTATGACTGATGGACCCCAAGTACCGCTGTAGGACTGTGGGAGTGAGCTTTGGCGGAGGTTAAACAAATGAACTGCTTATTACCAGCCAGACTTGGGGAGTTGAGCTAAGCCATGCATATATAACACTTAGATTTAGCGGCGGGTGTGTGGGGTCAGCACAGAGGTCACAACTGTTTATATATATGTGTGTGAAGGAGGGCTAATGGTCTTTTGGCGGCTCGGGAAATGCCCCAGTGCGCAGCCTAACTTATGGAAATCACAACCTCTGTGCTTGAAGCCATTACCCAGCTCATTTGCATAAAGACTCTTTCAAATAGGCTCTTGAAGGCCAGGACACGCCCCCTCACCCTCTAAACCAATATCCCATTAGGCTTTTTTTGACTAAAGTTGAACCTATCGACATGCGGCAGCTCTGACCAATCACAGTGATGCACATGTGGAGGTAACATGGTGGAGACCGGGGGCCAAACATGTGCACTTTCACGGGGCCGGTATAACAAGCCATTAACGAAGCCTTAATTGATGAGCTCGTTAAGATCTGTTATTAGAGAAATTGATTTCAAATAGCCACTTTAATCTGCCGGCCAGGATGGAAACAGGCCCCGATGCAAATTAAAGCTGCTAAAGTACATAATGGAGCAAGTAATTCATAGATTTCACTTTCACTAATTAATAATTGGAGATTGGAGGAGGCAGCGGTGTGTGTGCACGGTGGTGACGCAGGCCTATTGTGTATCTGGTGTTATTAATTAATGAGCTTTATTCCCAGGCAACCTATTAGTCATTTACACTGTGTGCGTGTGTATGCGTGTGTGTGTGTTTGTGTGCATATGTGTGTGTGTGTATCTGTGTGGAAGTGCATTAGGGCTGAGTGGACGTTGTGGGTAAACATTGTGTATTATGAAGATCTAAACGAGCTGATAAGTGTGTATTATGTGTGCAAGACCACTAATGATTAAGGAGTATGGTCCAAGAGAGGAAAGGAAATAATAATAAATACCATATGTTTTAAGTTGATACATTGTTCGAAATGTAAAACCTCATATTTTGTCCTTTCAACACCTTGACAATCTGTGGCCAATAAGTGCAAAACCCTTATCTTTGCTGGGATTAATGCTGGTGCACCTTACTTTCAAACCACAGAAATGTTTAACTATAGAATTTCATCTCATTTGGTCCTTGCTCTCAAGAGATTTCGGTTCCACACAAGTTTTCACATGCTTGTATTTGTGCCTCTTTTTCTGACAGAAAACTGAACAGAGGAAAAAAGCCCAAAAAGTCAAATAGTGACTCTCACAAGGATGCAAAAGATTAAACGAAGAGAGATGAACATTTGATTTTTTTAACAAAACTGTTATTTTAAAAGGCTTCTTCTTTTGAGGTTAATAAAATGCATAATTCATTAAAAATAATAAAGTTAAAACTATGACCATACCACAAGAGTTTTTTCCTTGATTTCTCCATTCCAGTCAAAACTATAACATATTTACCTATGGTTGGAATATTTCAATCTATTTTCCCATATTTTCGGTGTTATGGAAGGCACTTGGCATTTTTTTTCTTCTTACCTGGTGTTCAGAATTGCAGCACGTAAATACTTCTCCTCCATCTTCAGTCGTGAGTGATCGTGTCAGAGTGCACACTAGATCATAGCAGTTCATTGCACTTATTTTGAAGAAGGCCTTTTTAAATTGGACTGGGGTTGGCTCGGAGCTTTGAGTGGTGGGCACAGTGCAGACCCTGAGCTTAACGGGTCATGAACCAGACTGCATGTGCCGGTCCGCCTGATCCAAGGAACGCCATTTAATCCCATCTTTTTTATCTGTCCCGCTCTCACGCACACCCACGCACACACCAGGCTATAATTCCTGTATTAGTGTGGTATTAGCTAGAGTGGGGCAGGTACTTAACACTGAAAGAGCTGAAATCACTTCCCAGGGGAGCTTTTACACAATGCCCATGTGTGTGTGTGTTTGCCTGTGTGTGTGCGTCTGTGTGTGTGTGTGTGCCCGCCTGTGTATATGTGTGCACAAGATAGCTCTCATTGTCGCGTGGTTGTGTGTGTGATCTCCTAAGCTGGAGGAAGTGCGTCTCTGCTGGATGCCTGGACTCCCCCCCATCCCAAGCGTTTGATTTAATGTGGAGAAATTGGCTGGTGCTGTATTGAATCCGACTGGGGCCCATATTGTTCGGCTGCGGGGGATTACACGTTTAGCGGCGAGTGATCCTGGCTGGGCTATACAGCGCAGCAGCAGCAGCTCTTATCAGGCGCTGGGAGGCCGCGCTCTGCCACATTCACAAGCCCGCAGTACACTTTAATTGAATTTCTTTTTAGAGACAGAGCGGCTCAGACGGCTCATGGCATTCAATTTACCAGCTCCCCTGTCAACGTTTAGATCCTTCAGCCCGTTCTGCGCCTGCACAAAAAGGGGCGCCTCTTCTCGACAAAAGGAAACTTGCAAATGCCGTATTTATCTCTGTTGGCTCTCTCTGGCGCGCTCCTCTGCCACGCTGCTATCCATGTCAGTTATTATATCATTTCAATGAATACTCGCCAGGAAATGGGCTTATCGCACCGGCAAAATATCTATTTCTTTCAGGCCTTGATTTAGTGTGTTTAAAGCTC